CGGCTATTTCACAGATAATCTTATGAAAAACAGCGCGACAAGCGGAACCATTTTCACGTTCGTGGTTATGTTGAATAATCATACCTAATTATAATCAATTCAAATAAATAGTAATAATTTTATTTATATTAAACATAAAATATAATAAATCATTGAATTATTTTCAAAAAATCCTACATTTTCAATATTTTTTTACTTTTATGACTTTGTTAACCCACAAATAAACAAATAAAAGATGACAAATTCAATTTTCGAATCATATGGTCAAACATCGGTATACGCAGTATCATCCGCTCTTAAGGAATTCCGGAAATTTTGGAATGAAAATATGAATTATACAAGAGAATATACTCTACCATTCAGTGAAAATCCCATATTTAATTCGGTTTAGCTGTTTATTTGGTATTTGCCCGAAAAATAGGTACTTCAGTTTTATTTAAATGTATTCGAGTTTTAACATAAAAACCACAATAATTTAAGAAAATATATAAAACGGTCGGTTTTATATATTATTTTATTTGTATAGAGAAAAAAGGGGCGTAAACGTATTCAGTCTACAGGACTCTGGGTGAATTTATCGTGACGTTAAAAAAAATCTAAAAACTTTGTTTGAAATATATTACAAATACGCGTACTTATGCCGTTTTTTTAGATGTCTGCACCAAATCGGGCGTTACGGAATAGTTTATAAACTCTGATTTTGCATTTTTACGTTTTGGCACACCATATGTGCGAAAAACTATCATCTTAGCTGTGCCATCTATCGCCTTGCAAATGTCTTTTCTTATTGTAGGATGTGTCTATAGTTTTAAATACAATTTGTATATTATAATAATGTACAAAAAAATCTATATGGAAATTAGTATTTCAGCATTTACAAACTGTCCTTAATTTAGAGTGTTTCTAAAATATACTTATATACGTGTACTATATAGTGTATCACTACTTTACATATAGCAGACAAAAACTCTACATAGAAATTAATATACTTCCTCCCATTTTAGTCCAATTTTGTCGTAAGTTCAACCCATCACAATTGCCACGATTTCAATGATCCCTTCTATAATGAAAAAACACCTATAGGCATTAATGTTCAATTTTCCACCCCCTATTTTGTATTATAGAAAATAGATTCTTTGTAAAACAATAAATAACCAAATACTATAATAATACGCGTGCGCACGGGAAGCATATGCATAAAGTCTCACTTCATAATAGTGATGATGAGATATAGACTGGTTTTTAAATTAACTATAAACACCGGGCGTTCCTCAATAATTGAAGGAAATATTACACTATAATATATAAATATAGTGAAATCTGAGCATACAAATAGTAGAAACGCATGTGTATAATACTATGTGCATACAAAAATAGATCTACCGACGTTATTTGGAGGTTTATATCTCTATAAGTATTCGGAGCTAAAAGAACACTCTTCTCCCGCAATAACACAGTAAAATTCAATTTAACTTTTATCACTCCAACTCACCTGAAAATATTCCAAAATTTAAGCTAAAAAAAAAAATACAAAAAGTCTAAAAAGATAAAGGGAGAAATATGTAAATATATCACGGACTATTTCATATCGAAAATTTCCTCAACGAATATTACAATTTAAATAGGTAAAAAATTACCTATTATATTACAAATTAAAAAAAATGTGCAACGTTTGTAAAATAAACGTGTAGAAATTATTTTGGTGTGAAGACTTTGCGAACAAAACGATTTGGTACCTATATATTTATAATATAAATTTATCTTACATCCCACGAAAAAATCTAAAAGTATATACGTCTCTGATTTTGGACTCGCAATCGTTCAAATCGTATAGGTACAAGTATAGTAGAAAAACTGCAGTGTTCGCACCCGAGATCGCGTTAAAACTGATTCGTTCGCACCAGACCAAAATAACGTTCGTAAATCCCGCACGACGTTATATATATGTTATATTTTATATTGTGCACGGGCTTATATTGTACATTTGTGACTTCGAGACTATACGGTGGATTTCGATTAAATCTCGAGATTGGTTAAAACGAGAATTGAAGGAGAAAACAATTTTTATTATATTTTTTTCTTCGTATATATATATATTATACACAAGATTTGGTCACCCCTTTCCGGAGAACGTGTTGACCTCCACCTGCTGTTTATCCGGTAAATGGTAAACTATACCTAAACATCTCCTACAAAACTTACAAATATAACCTTTCCAAAACATTATATTATTGCAAAAAATATTATTAAGTTTTTCTTATATTTAAAATTTAAATAAGTATAGTAATAGTTAGATGGGTTACAATCTGAATTTTAGATTCTGAGTGGAACGATAAATATATTAATTTCACAATGACGCCTATTTTTTTTAATATAAACTGCTGTCTGTAGTGCACATAATGCAATTATGGTGTTTATCAATAATAAGATTTTTAAAGCACATCTATTAAATTGTCATTAAATTTTCATTTTCATTAAAAAACCTTCGGACTGTTGACATAAATAATTTGAAGATGGTGCTTTTTCTAGGTATTAAATATTTGTCTTTATTGTACACGTACTTTCAAAATATAAGAAATAAACAATACATTTGATAGATTAATAAAATGTTTAACAATATTAAAGGTGTTTCTTTTGTGCATAGATTTAATCATGTTAGGGAGAAAAGTGTACGGATCATACAATTTTGAAATTGGTATATAAATAGAAGCGTGTGTAATGCGGGGCTCACGATAAATACAACGTTAATAGGGGTTTATAGGGGTGGAGTTTGTATAAATATAATGGGGTGGTAAACGCGAAATTTTCGGAGCATCCAATGTTGATATGGAGGGTTTTGGCGAAATGCCAAGTTTAGGTATTTGAATCGTACACACCAGTAAAACAATGTTGTTAGCGCTGGTTTTACGGTGAAGGAAAAACAATTTACAAAAGCCAGTAAACCAAGATTGTTTACACCAGTACTACCTTTGGAATGGCAATAATCGGAAAAGTCGAGAAAACGATATTCATTTACACCCGTTAGTGTATGATGGAATAGTTTCGAAATGTGTTTAGGAATGTATTGTACCAAGCAAACTCTGAAATATACTCAGATAAAAACTAGGGAAAATAGGGAAAGAAAGGTCGTGAGAGGGTAAATAAAAATATTAAATCGGAACGGTCAATATATTTGGTGCACTACCTTGCTATTAGGACCATTGAGATTTATGGAACACAGTCCAGAAAATATGGAAGAGAGTATCCGGTGTATCTTGAGCCGGAGAAAAATGTTTTTTCTAGAGTCCACAGAAAAAATCCACTATACCATGAGCTGAAAATGAACGTGTTTTTTTTATTATTTTTTTGCTGGAAAGAATAATCCAAAAAATACGAATTAGATCATTCGATTTTATGGCTCAAAGTACACCGAATCATCTCATCCATTTTTCCGGAATATAATATAATTAGTTCTCAAGGAACAAAACATCAATATGATTGCCATTCAAAAAAACTATACATGGGTACAATTAACAATTTAAGTCACTCGTCATTGCTCTTACGATCTCTATAACAACGAATTACGTCTAAAACCATAACGATGAATTTAAAATTTATCAATTTACCTAACGGCTAGCATTTGCATACATCTAAACTGGAAACATTTGTGTAGCAGCAATCACAATTATTAACCTGAATGATTCTTCTCAAAGAACTGGGATTCAACCAAACCAACACTTATATTTGAAAAATATGATTTGAAATCAATATCGCTAAACCAAGTTGCTAACCTTATTAATTCAAACGTACAACCAATCAAAAGAAACACGATCCGGATAAAACATTTTAGATAACGATGGTGTTCTTAATCACAATACTTTGAATTTATAGTTCGCAGTGTATCGATCGATAGAACGACCGGTGTCCGCTACCGTGTATATGTCTTGAGGTATTGATTATTGAATGAGAAAAAGTCAAGCCTTTTAACGCACTGACACTGGCCAATTTCGCCTGTTGTATGTCCACTCGTCTGGTATGCTCAGATCGAAAATATCGACCATTAATCGTTCATTAACTCTGACATTAAAGCGGGTACTTGTTACGTAGCTGTATGTTCGCTGTCTATAATAATATAATATGAGTTAATCAAAAGGTATACGAAGTCACAGTCAAAACGCGGAAATTGTGAAAACTGGAGATAATTATTTTTTATAGAAAATGTTTTTTATAAGAAAATATTATTTAAATAATAACAATGTGCAAAAATTGTTATAAATTATTAAGATCTAATTTATATATTAAAAACAAATAAATGGTAAGGTTCCTGGGTTTTACTCTCAGTTTACTTATCTTTTCCATGTACTTATATCTATCACCAACTACGCACACAATCAATCTATCAAAATAATGATACAAATCGTCAACCCAACTTTTAGTTTCTACAAACTATCTTGACCTCTTATCGATCGTATTAGTATATTTAAAAAATTAAACATTAAAAAATAATAATAATAATAACATTACCATTACCATTATTTTACCATTTTGCATATTTTCGTGGTAATATTATTTTGTAAAGGGTTTTTTTTTTTTTTTTTTTGTAGCAGTTTTCTCTTAATCCATACAAACAAACTGGCTAATATATGCGTACATGGGTTTTCCCGGTTTTCGGACAAAAAGGACCGGAAACCGGAAGTGGTCTTTTCGGAAAATATCGGTCAGGACGGTACATTTGGAAGAAAATAAATCCGTTCCGACGACGGCGGCTGACACTTGCGGTAACCTTTTATTATATATTATACTTTAAAAGTACTTTTCGGAAAGAAATCGTACAGTTTGTCCTTTATTTCAAAGGCCGTTCGCGATTGGATTACATTAAAAAAATGTTGTTTCCTTGACCTGTATGTGTGTTTTGACTGTGGCCAAGGAAGCATACCTTTGACGTTATCACGACAAAATAAATTCCGTATTTCAATAAAATAATTCGGACTGAGGAAAAATGTAATTTAACTTGTGTGACAATGAGTGTGTGGAGGATATTAAATGATAATAATTTACACCCCTATCATAGACAAAGAGTACAGGAGTTGTTGCCACGTGATAATATCGCCAGACTAAATTTCGCAACCGATATGATAAATCGAAAAACGGAAAATCCTAATTTTTTTTTGAACATCTTATTCACCGACAAGGCTGGTTTCACAAAAGATGGTATTTTCAACCAGCATAATTCTCATTTATGGGCTGAAGAAAATTCACATGCTATACGAATAGGAAGATCACAGTACAAATTTAGTATAAATATTTGGTGCGGTATTATTGGAAATTATTTTTTGGGACCTCATGTTTTATCACCTAAGTTAAATGGACGCGAGTTTCAAATGTAACTATGTACACTTTACCCGTACTATTAGAAAATATTTCTAATGAAGAATAGGAAACAATGTGGTTCATGTTAGATGGAGCCCCACCTCATCACACGATAGAGGTCAGAGAGCAACTCCATTATTTATTTCTTGGTCGCATTATTGGAAGACGTGCAGGTAACAATGCTATAAATTATCCAGATATAATATAGCCACCCCGAAATCCTGACTTCAACCCATGCGACTTTTTTCTATGAGGGTACATGAAGGAGNTGCGGCAGAAAAAAATAATGCGAACTCCAGAACTATTTGAAAATGTTTGGAAGACATTCCATGAACGACTTTTAAAATGTATTGAAGCACACGGAAGTCATATTGAACATTTACTTTAAATATTATCTTATAATAATTAATTATAAAACAATTCAATAAAAACAACTGAATTTATGCATTTTTTTAATGTTTTTTACAGTCAAATAAGTCGTATTTTACGGATAGGATCGTTAAATTGACGCTTAAATAAAAAATAATTTATTCCATTGAAATCTCTAAAAAAATTTACATAAAAATTCATGTGTCACACAAAAATTACGATTTTAGACATAATAAGCCAAAAATAGCGTAATGATTATTTTTGGAAAAAATCGAGTGACCCTTTATTTCGTAAGAGAATTTTGCGATAAATTCTCTGGAATGGTTTATTTTTATTTTGTAAGGGTATTTTACAAATAAAATGGGTAAAACCAAATTTTTGATAAGAGAACAAAAATTCCAAAAAACCAATTCTTATAGCCACATATAGAGTCACAATCCGTAGAGTTGGCCAGTCTTTTCTGATACACCTTGTATATGTAGTCGATATTTAAACCTAATACACACGAAAAATAAATAGTATATAATATGACACGCTTAATCGCTAATTTGTCTAATTAACTACTACGCTGCGACTTCCATAAATTATCAAATACCTATCCAATAGCACCTATAATCATAGAAAATTATGCGGCTCGCTCAACTAACACCAACTGCTTTTGACATATCGAGGAAACATACTCGACATAGCGAGATGGTGCGCAATCGACGAAAACTTTTCCAGAATCCGACCCGATATCGGCTCAGAACGCGGACGTTTGACTTGAAGGGTTATGATCATCGGTATAGTGTACCTTTACCTATTCGCAGCATATTTCAAGACAACAACTACAGTCTATAGAGAAAACAAAATTAAAGATATACCCTTCAAATAGATACTAAATATAAATTTTGTTATAAAATATTGTATCTAATAAATGCAAAATAAAATATTGAATACCAGTAACTTGTTAATATTTTTTTTCAATGAGCCACATTTAAAGCTAAAACCTAAATACTAAAATATAATATACAATAATATGTTATATTTTTAATAGTGTAATAATAGGTACTTAAAAAATAATCAAACATGATAAATAGAAAGTTTAGTGAAAAAGGAAATTTGAATATGTTCATTAAATATGCGTGTTATGTGTACTTAGTATTGTATAATGAGTTTAGTAGATATAAAATTAATGAGTTAGAAGGAAATATAAAAATTTTAGCTTCTTAAGTTGGGTCCACACCACATGCGCACCTGCATGCAACGTTGCTGCAATATGCAATTGTTCACATTTTTCGCTATAGTTTTTATAACAATTTTACCTTCTCTGTGTTTAAAAAAAGTCTTGGATATTTAATCAAGATCCAATTGAAACTTCTAAAGTATCTAAAAAATTTTAAGTGGGTAAATGAAATAAAAACAATTGAGAAACATGAATTAATGTGTACTTTTGCCATTCATTGTCGTAATTTTTATTTTCAAAGATTTCTCTCTTGGAAAAGAAAATAATAATGAGTTAGTTATTCCCTTAATGGATATCTACAGAAATTTCTTGAATAAGGGTACGGCGCATTATTTTTTTTTTGCATTGAACCAATGAAAAAAATTACGTGTTTATTTTTATGGCCATAGTACGACACTAACAATTGTCGTCCAAGCCAATTCAGTAAAACTCAATAAACTACTTTGGAATACCAACAGTATCATAAACATATGTAGCAAATGCACCACACGATACAGTAACCTTGCATAACATTTGAAGTGTTTTGTGTTGACTCGTGGCTTTAGACAAACTTGGGTAAAATGCTTTTTCAAAGTATTCAAACTTAATATTCAAATGCACATAAAAAATTATATTCTGAATATATATTTAAATACTTTACAATAATATTTTCAAAATACTTTTCAAAAAGTATTAGGAATACAACTTATTTTTAAAAAATAGTTAATTTACTGATGATTGTACCAACTAACCGAAAGTAGCGCTTTTCTCAGAAAAAAACCATAACTAAAAGATAAAAGCCGATAGAGGGTGAATTTATAAAAAAAATTCAATCAAGTACCACCGGGTGAAAATTCTGTATTTTTTAAAGTAATGAATGAAAAAATCGAATAATTTTTACTACTCGAAAAAGTATTTTCCGAAAAAAAAAAAATATATACATCTTATTGTAAAACATTAAACACTCTAAAACGATAATGACAAATTTTTCTTTTAAGGAATAAAATACTTTAATCGTAATACTACCAATGTCTGACTACAGGTAAACATAATTACGCCACAGTAACTACTACCCTTATTATCTTTGTCATAACATGTCTATATGTTACTATACTCTGCTATTCTTGTGATTACTCAAATGTTCTCGAGTTCTCCAATACAAAATATAACGAAGCGTTTTACACACACACACACTTATCTCATTGACATATTTTCACAAATTGTGTTTTTTTTTTTTTGTCATTTTTCAGTCACAACGGCGAAAACCACGAGTACGAGTTGGAGGACGGAACACAAAGCGGCTCGCACGCTGGGCATCATTATGGGCGTGTTCCTATTGTGTTGGTTACCATTTTTCCTCTGGTAAGTCTAATTTGAATACAATAATATTAATACCATTAAAAATCATCGCCGCCACGTGCCACCCATGTAGTTCGACATGTCGGGTACATTCGTACAGGAGTTCATTTCTAAGTGCGCTTGTCTCACTTTTGTGTTTAAATATATATATATTAGATATATATTAGATTATAGATTAGGTCAAGCAATTTATTCATATTTCGGACCAATCAGGCAAACTATTTTTTCATGTTTGATAAATAGTGTTTTAAAATAGTTTTATTATATTACATTGTATTATATTATATATTACTCCAGGATATGAATATATCAGGTGATGAATAAACCTGACGATGGAATAAAAAATCTTAAAAGTGATATTCTTCTTGTGTATACGCATAAAAATCCAAATATAGCAATAAACCAATTAATTATTTTAACATAAAAATAGTGTGAATTTGCTTGACAAATCGTTCTGTACATTGGTACTATAGAGCCTGCAATGGCCAGTAGTAGGTACCCAATTTTTTATTATTATTTTTTTGTTGTTGTTCAATGAGATCAACCAACAAAATTGTTTTTTCGGGGGATTAAATTTAAAAAATAAATGAAATGATAATATATTTTTAATGACCCACGGTGCGTATAATATTATTAATAGTATAATAACGACAATATAACGACAGCAAAAAAAAAAAATTACTGACCGTTTTCTTAATTGCTCGAGTATATCATAGTTATAACTCGGGTACTTGAGTATTACTCGTTTATATGTATAATAATAGCACAAGAAGAAAACCAATGTCATATACTTTTTATCGCAACACGTACGAAAATTATTTATTTTTTTTTATCGTATAGCTTTTTTCTTTAAGCTGGTAGAGATCGTTGTTGGACAGAACATAATATTATCTGCAGCAAACATGTACAATTTTTTTTTATTTTGGGTCATGAAATAAATATAGAAGTGGAGGCCTGGACTCTAAAGGAAGCCGATTTGAAGAAGATAGAAATATTCATGATGTAGTGCTATAGAAGAATCTTAATTGTATCATGGGTAGATCGAGTTAAAAATTTGAAGGTGTTGAGGAGAATAAGGAAAAATAAAAAAGTAGTAAAAACAGTCAAATCAAGGAAGTTGCGATATTTTGGACACATGCTGGGAGGACAAAAATACCAAATTCTGAAACTCATTCTAGAAGGGAAGATAAGTGGAAGCAGAAGTGAAGGATAGCCTAAAACTAATTAGTTACAAAATCTGAGGCAATGATCTGATTACAACAACCAATTATTCAAGGCAGCCCGGGAAAGAATTCAGATTGACATAATAATTTCCAACCTCCGATAGGAGAGAAATTTCAAGAAGAAGAAGAAATAAATATAATCAATCTGTATTATTGTATAAGTACCTACAATACAGATTTTTGAGTAGATGAGACACGCGTAACATAAACACAGAGGTCATTGAGAGTGGCGTCATTTAGAGGGTGTGAGTATGTGCGAATACATAAAATTAATTTTTTTATTAGTAATTATTATGTTTACTTAATACGACATACATATCGTATTGTTAATGTTATGACTACCTTATATGATTTTATTTCAACTTTATTATTTTTATTATAATATACATATATATGTTATATTACGATGAATTCTTCAGTCACAAGTTGCTTTTTAGATTGTATTATTTTATAACTAATACATAATCCTAAACCTAAACTTGTATTGTTTATAATTGAACTACCACAATACAAAAATATTTCATATTATTACTTAACGGTTGTTGGATTTTTTTTTTGTCGTCTATCTATTATATTTTTAACTAACGAAGCTTTATGCCAGTCACACCGGTATGCTGTCGTATTAAGAATGTATTGAGCATCATTCTTCAATTTAACTGGTAATTGACATCAATAACAGGGAAACATCTACATTTTAATACATAATAATTACAAATTTATATAATATTATTATACATATAATAATATGTATTCATTCGTCTTTAATATGATCGAAGTGAACGGCTTTGGTATTGATTTAAATTTTCAATATTAGTTTCGCATCTCATAAAAGATGTATAATATAATTAGGGGTATATGTAATATACCCCTAAGACTAGAGGAGTCGTTAATAAACAAAAAATGAACAGTAATCAAGAAGAATTCGCGATATAGGGAAATTACCACAGTGGATACCTCGGCCAAGATGGAAATAATATATTAATATGTGTAACAATGGATACAGAAATAGTAGAAGCTAGAATATAAAGGAGAATTTGTAGAGAAAAAATAGTGATAGATATCTAGCAAAATATTATTGGAGGGCTGATTTATAAAGATTTCCCTCAGAGAAAAAATATCACAAATCGATAAAAATACAAGAACTACAAGTAAAATACGAGAGGAAGAGGTATGTTTTTAATTTTTCAATCGATCAATCGATAATTTTTACCGGTAAATTACGAGTTTTACAAAATACATAGACTAAAATAATTTTTCCGTCCGCCAGAATTGTAAAACGAATAGGCTACTTTATTTTCCACTGATTTATTTCATCGGATATTCTATGTTTTAATGTATTTACGATTTTGAAAATCACTGAAATTCGGGAATATTCATAAATCATATAATATTATTATAATAATAAAGTACATAATAAAATACTTCATGGTTCATTGGTGTTCTTACGAAAAATTTTAATATGCTACAAGTACAACGAAATCGTATGGCTTAACCGGACAAAATCAAAAAGTACCGAAGTTTCAAATTAAATAAGCGAAACCCCATCATCAGATACAGACTACTGTTTTTTCATAGTAAGAGAAAGTTTTACCACGATAATAGTTCCAACGAACACGATAAATTGATAAAGTATTTCGAGATACTATGTATAGAATTTTGATATCACGCTGAACATATATACGCAGTGATAGCGCTAAAAAATAATAGTAAAGTAATTTTTCGGGAACGGCATAAATCTCAAAGGTCACGACATTATTAAAATTGGACCCCTCTTACCGCTTTCGTTGCAGTACCAGGCGTGGTATGTACTCTAGGGAATGTGACGTTATTTTTTTCCTCCACGTCTCTATTTATTTTATTTTCGTTTTTTTTTATCTTTTATCAACTCGGTAACTTATTCAGTGATATATATTATGTTGTGCCGAAGAGCCCAATACCGGAACTTCATCTAGTCCCTCTCAACCGTTTATCGTGGACTGCACGGATCATTGATAAACACTGGCGTCGTCGGGAAGTCCGCCAACAAACGTAACGGCATTATATTTTACCAGTACAGTGTACACAATAATAATTATTAGCCATCTCTATTATTACTATTATCATCTCGTCATCATCGTGATACGGAAAATTCAGGAAACGTTTTCTAATTTGGCGTATCTCCAAAGAAGTCCTCGACGAATAATATATATAAAACCCTTAGCGACCGTTTATTGAAATCCCATATTATGTTTTGTTTCACGAAAAATTCATACCTGACCTTGATCGAACAACTCACAACCAGAGGCGTAACTACGGGGGGGGGGGGAANGGGGAAAAACCCCCCCCCAAAAGCCGTATTTATATAGTATATTGTTATTTTGTACAAATTCGAATTCAAATACAAATTTTCAAAACTATTATGAAATTAAAAAATTACAAATATTTAATTGTATTGGTAAAAACTTAACAAAATATTCATAGTTTATTATTATACTAAGTAAACGATATTCCTAATAATTTATGTCAAAATAAATTATAAATATCACTTTGAGCTTAACATACTATGAGTTCAAACGTGATTAGGACGTTTCGATTTTAAACACAGATGTGCCATTTAATAGAAAATTGTTTAGCTCTGATAATGAGTTATTAAATGTTGGTAAGGGGAAGAGAGGATTGTGTGGAGCTAACCTCCCACAAAATTTCCATAAAGATTTATTTTAATATCCCCTCCCTTAAAATATTCTCAGTTATACCACTGCTCACAACACTGACTGTATCGCACTACAGCATAAACTTTTAAAAAAAATATATAAATACATATCAAAAAAGTGGAAATTAGTTACGCTAAACAATGTAACGCCGATTCGATGTACCAATAAGTGCGGCATCACTGCAGTTGGCGAGGCTATCGTTAAAACCAATTTATTTCTGTGAAATTCCTTGACCCAAAAATAACAGGAAAAAGTCTGTTATTCATGTTTAATTTCAATTAAAAACTCATTGGGTTGCTAACAGATTTTGTTTAGCATATTTGTTTGAAATGTTGAAAATCTATAAAATAACATTTCAAATAAAATACCATAGGCCAAAAAATCGGCGTATTTTGTCAGTTTGGAGCGTTTTTTCTAACCAAAAAAATTGTTACTGGGGTAGGAGGGCACCAGCGATATTTTTAAAGCCTCCTCCTCGCCTTAGAATGAATATATACAACCATAATTATTGTGGTGGGACGAATCAAAAAACGCATGAAAAAAGCAATTTCTTATTAACCCTCAAAAGTTGTATAGAAAAACAAATCATACAAGTCAACGCGAAGAAAATCGTAATAATACGATTGGTGCGTGGACCTGACTTAACCTAAAACTAACTTAACTGTGTAAGAGACCGGGTTTTTTTATCGGACTATTAATATAAACCGCTAATATATTATTCGATTTAAGTTTGTCACGGGCATCAAGAAAACGAACAGCGCAGAGAAAATAAAACGGGTTCGTTCGTTCGCCAAAATTCTCAAACGACGTTCTATCGTCGTCGCACACTCGGCTCCAGGGAACAAAAAGAAAAAATTCACAATAAAGCTTTTGTATATAAACGACAAAAATAGTATATATTATAAATTCACCTCGTTTTTTGTTGTAAAAAACGCACGTTGTGAAAGCGAAGGTGACGGTGAGCTTTAATCGGGGCTATATTGCCAGTAAATCATTATTATGTATAACGCTAAAGCCACGGCTATTTTATCAATCTGACCGGTTCAGTCACGTGTCCATGCATTTTCAATGAGAGGGAATGTAGAAAATAATGATCATAATTTGTGAATAAATCGTAGAATATTCTTCTATCGTACTTTATACCTAAAACATGATACTGAGAATTTAAAATACGAATTAACAAAAACCAATTTATTGATAAAAATATTAAATATACACTCATATTTATAGTATATTTAAGCCAATAGACCTCCCACCAATCATCATTATACTATTTATACCGAAATTAAGTATAATCTACAACAATACCAAACTAAATGCATTAATTGAATTTTTTTTTTAGATTTTGAGCTGAGTGAGGATGTATTGATTTTACTAAGATGAGTAGGATTTTATTTTTTTGATTTGG